TTTTTCAACTTAGATAGAATATGTATTGCTTATTCTGATTGTTTATTCTTCTATTGACTGCCATTGCTAATTCTTAATTTAATTTGACAATGGTATTAAAGTATTAAAATCACCTCTATATGCTGTATTACTCTAAAGTTACTTTGAAAATGTTCACTCAGTTTTATACAGGTTTGTAGAACGTCCCTTTGTAGGGACATTCAGCTATGACAAAATAAAATTTTATACTATGGTTGTGCAGTCCAGAGATTATGAACCAATTGCATTGGTTTTGATTTATCATAAAGATCCTCAAAATTGTTTTGAAGTCTTAAAGAATTCAAAGAAAGTCACTTTTCTCCTGGAGCTTTCTTGTAATCTTTGGCTTTTTTTCCAAAATCAAGAAAGGCTAGGTTGATGGATACTTAGGTCTGAGTTTTTTCTGTGCTAGCATTCTGACTTTGGAATTCCTAGCACTTTCCCTAATGATGTTTAAACATAAATAAGAATACTAGTATTTTGAGAGAAACTTCAAGGCCTATAAATTGATTTTTAATATTACGGATTGTTTTAAATAATGTTTTGCATTGCCTTTTGTTCTGCCGAGAAACTTCTGCATTGCTTTAAGAAGTCGATATGGGAAGAAAAATATTTTCATCATAATTCTTTTTCAGTTTAACTATTTCCATTTTATTATTTTAGCTCCACAAGTAAGTATAAAAACAAAAATGGCTATGGGATAAAACAGTTTCATTTCTCTCATTGTAGAAAATGACGAAAGACCATCTGGCAGAAGAAAAAACATCACTCCAAAAAAGTCTCCTATTCTATGAAAGTCAGCATGGACGTCCGGTAATATTTCACACTCTCCCCTCTGCCTGTTTAGAATTATTTAAAACACTGTTGACATCATCTTGAAGAATCACTGAACACTTGCCCCAATGTTTCTTCTAGTAGCTTTAGACTGAAGGAATTGTGTTGGACACCAAAGAATAAATAGGACCGAATCCTTCAAAACAGCTTAATAATAGAATTCTAAGAATTATAAAAGAAACTGTAGTTTCTTTTCAGAAATTTTTTCCTTAAAACTTTCATCAACATTCATCAATATTTATCTAAATGTAATCTCAGAAACATAATTCAGAAGTATTTTAAGATCTATTAATTTGAGAAGAAAATACAGGTAGTCATCAATTTATGACCACAATTGAGCCCAAAATTTATGTTACTAAGTGAGACATTTGTTAAGTGAGTTTTG